CCTGTTGAAAAACTGGTTTAAGTCATTAGCTTGTTGTAGACACCCCCCCCCCTCAGCTGTACCCCTCCCTTTCTTCTGGAAGCCGGTGATCTCCTCATCCCCTTCCATACGTCCCTGGCCTTGTTCTTCTCCAGTCTCTCCTCTAGTTTCCCCCTGTAGGTGTTCTTACTCTCCTTGAGTCTGTGTTTCAGCTCTCTTTGTACCCGCTTGAGTTCTGCTTGGTCCCCTGACCTAAAGGCCCTTCTTTTCGGTGAGTAGGGCCTTCAGGTTGCTGGTGACACAGGATTTTTTGTTAAGGTAGCAGCAGATGTCTCTAGTGGGGATGGAATTGCCTAAACAGAACATGATGTACTCAGAGACCCAGTCTGTTAGGCCATCAGTGTCCTCAACCTGTGGTGCATAGAGGGCAGTCAAATTGTTAGCGTCTTTAACATTTGCATACAGAAAATGGATGTGTGCAAAGACTGTTGGCTGGCTCTCATTTCTAGAGTGGAATATTATCGATAAATCAATAAATGCTCAGCACAACCACAAATGTAATAATTTTGCCACTGCTGCTTTTTCTTTTCAAGAGCCTATTTTTGCTTGTAAGCGCCTGAAACTTGCTTTTGACTTATTTCCTGAAACTAAGAATCAGTCAGCTGTAAGAATCTGTGTACGATCAGAACATGGATGATTATTTAGTGAGTCAGTAGTCAGTAGGCAAAATACCAACAATAAACAAGAACCAATCTAAGCATACTCATATTAATTTGCATTATCTTTCCTCTTTAAGATGGAGTAGCCTAGCACATGCCTTATGATGTCTTTCTTACTGTCTGCGCTCTATATTTGATTGATGATGCCTGAGGAGGCTTTGTGGATCCGACATCTGGATGTGACTGTGAAGCCTGTTTCTGTCTGACTGCTGTTCTGCAAGGGGCTGTCTGTCAGGGCTGTGTATAGGGCACCAGGGACAGGAAAGGCGTGCACGGCTGGGGGAGGGGTAAGTCAGCTTCTCATTTCCTATCTCTACTGGGGATATGGAATAGTGCTACTTTATTAACCCAGTGGGGAGATTCTCTTTCCTGCTCCCCCATCTTGTTCTCCATGAGACTCATATAGGTGTGAGTGAGCTTGGGAGACACAGTGCAGGAAAAACGCTGCAGCACCTCTGAAGATGGGGCTTAAGACATACACGGACCTGTGAGAGATTAAGACACACAGAGACCTGTGAGAGATTAAGACATACAGAGACCTGTGAGAGATTAAGACATACAGAGACCTGTGAGAGATTAAGACATACAGGGACCTGTGAGAGATTAAGACACAGAGACCTGTGAGAGATTAAAACATACAGTACAGAGACCTGTGAGAGATTAAGACATACAGAGACCTGTAAGAGATTAAGACATACAGACTTGTGAGAGATTCAGACATACAGAGACCTGTGACAGATGAAGGAATAGGTTTCAAAGCCGTGTCTGACGTGATCAAATCACTATCGAGGTATTACACACTTGTATTGCCTTTCCATGACAGTTGGCACAGATTGCTGTGGTTTTCTTTACTTGTTATTCTGGTTCTGGTTTTCTAAAACACTTGGAGTGGCTCATTTAATTATAAAGAAAACTCGTCAGACTGATAATTGCTCATATGTGATTTCTTTCAAAGCATGAAACAAAATGACGTAATTTTTTTTGACATGCTAATTAATTTCTCATGATTCACACGGTATACGTCTACAAAAGGAATCTTACCAAGCCAGGGAGAAAGCCTGATAGAAATACACATGCTTTTCATAGTTACATTAAATGACGGTAGTATTGTATGTGACACCCGTTTGCCCTCTTGACGTGATTAATTAGAGCTCCCTCCCTCCCTCCCCCCCCTTCCCCTAACTGCCGGCTTTGCTATGCTCAGGGCGGGGGTGGGGGTAACAGCTCATATGAGTCGTTTCTAGGTGTTTTGGATTCCTCCCACCCATCATCAGTTATTAATGGGTGTATGTCTGTGAGTAGCGTCGAGGTTACCTGAGAAATTTGGAACTGGGGCAAACAACCGCGTATCCGGAGGCAAGCGAACAGTTGTTCTCTACAAACGAAATGTGTTAAAAAAAAAACACCACTTCTCCACCTCATAATATTTCTATATCATACCCACACCCACCACCACCACCCTTAAAGACCATGGAGAAGAGCTGAGTACCGCAATGGACACGAGAGATGAGATTTCCTGTGAATTTCCTCTGGGGGAGGGTGTTTAGAAAAAACAGGAAGAGG